AGCCGCCACGTGACGGTGGCAATAGCGAACGCCCACGCGCTTCAGGTGCTGCCCCGACCGCAACACGCAGGTGCCTGGGCTCAGCCGCCACGGCCCCCGGCACGCTCCCGGCCCGGGCACCGACCCCAGATAACACCTCAGACACATGGCTGGGAAGCTCAGAGCAAGCTCTGGCCACCCAGCAAAGTCCCCCCGGGGATGGGAGCTCCCAAAATTAAAGGTATTTGGTTCTATCCCACCCACCAGCTGCACCCAAGGTGGTGCAAGCACGGCAGCCCCGCCAGCCCCTTGCCATTGCTGTCAAGGATTTAATAAGAGAGAGAAGGTCCCAGAGATGGGACTTTTGTTGGACAGCATCCATCCCATCCTCCGGCAGATGGAGGGATCCCAACCCCACAAAGCCCCGGGATGGCTCTTGCCACGCAAACCCCGGCAGCACCCTTGGTTAGGGTTCCGCAGCCTGTTCTCCTTTCCTCCCCGCCATCCTCTGCTTCCACAGACAGCAGAAGGGGGTACTAAAGCAGGAAAACACGGGGTTTTGCCCCACAAACAGCCTCAAATTGCCCATTTCCCCCCTTTTCCAGACGCTGCTTGCCCACACCACTCCTTGCCACTGAGCTCACCTGCCACCGGCCTCGTGCTCACTGCGTGTTTGACGGGAGCTGCGCGGTTACTCGCTTTTTAATACATTAATTATAGCTGATTACCACTGCCACCCCCACCTCCCCAGAGCTGTGACCTGCTCACACACCACCGAGAAAAGGCTCCTTCCTTCGGCACACTGCTGAGGCCACCAAGATTCACCTTCTGACCCGCTCGGTGATGGCAAGACAGGGATTAAATAGCGATTAAAAGATGCTGTTTCTGGTATCGTGATAAATAGCGACCGCATGTCACGGGAAACAGATGCCAGTCCCTTTTATTGAGGGATGTGGAGGCTGGAGGGGGTTTTGCTTTGCGAGAGGGGGATGCTGGAGGTGGGATGGCTGCTGGAGGGTTTGTCTCTGCACCCCCTTGCCCCCCAAAATGCCCCAGTTGAAGCATCACCTCGCTCTGAGTCAAGCCCCGACACCGCAATCGCCCCGGTTGGGACGAGGGTCCTCAAAATACCCGGGTGCTGCTTACACGAGGCAGCTGCGGCCTGCTGCAGAGCCCACTGCTTTCAACGGGTTATTTTTGTTAGAAAAGCCAGTGCGGTGCCAGCTGCACGCGGACCCCAGGGAGGGAGCTGGGTGCCTGGAGTCCCTCAGGGATGGGAACATCCCCCCCAGTGTCACCCAGCTGGGAGGGGGCAGCAGCTCACCCCAGTCCCTTCCCATGGGAACGCCGGCCCTGCAAACCCAAACAAGGCCAAATCCCGCGCCTTCTCCCAACTCGTGCCCGTCCTCTCCAGTGGGGAAGTGCCAGGAACACCGCTCGGGCAGCGTCGCGGTGACCATCACCTGCCCCACCACCCCCCACCCATTTCTCCCCGGGCTTTGCCGTTGGGTGACCTTGGCGAGCCCTCACCCCCTCCTCTGCTTTGGGGACCCTCTTCCTCCCATCCCACGGGGAAATGACCCACCGCAACGCCCCACCCCAAAAGCCGGGTGCAGGGAAAGGCTTTGGGGCCGCAGAGGCCCCCAGGGCCGGCGGGTGATTGGAGGGGTGTCTCCAGCCTGGCAGACCCCTAATTCTCCACCCGTCATTGCAAGCACCCCAAAACCAGGGCAGGGGGGTGACAGCCCCGCTGGCAGGGCCCCCCGGGGTGGCCGGGTAGTGCCAAAGCCCTGACTCACAGCACGCACGTACCCGCGCAGGGTAAAGCGATAGGAGGGGAGAGAGGACGCCGGAGCCCAAAATACCCCGGCGCGCCTGACACCGGAGATTATCGCTTCGCCGGTGGGACGGTCGCCCGGCCCAGCTCACCCCAGCTCCCCACAAAGCACCAAAACCCCCCAAAACCTCTGCCCTCGCCTTTTCTCCCGCCGCCCCACGCCAGCCACCCAACAGCAATGAGGGGCTGCAGGGTGCCTGCTGTCCCAGCAAGGCCTGCGGTACCATTTCCAGCTGGTTTCTCCCCAAAATATGGGGTTTTTTTTTTCCTCAGCCGGTACAGGCCAAACGCGTTGCATAGGGCCTGAGCGGTTTCGGGGGGCGGAGGCGGGCGGCACTGTGAGGGCTTGGCCTTATTTTCCTTCCGAGGGGGTTTGGGGGGGGGAAAAAAAACCAACCCCAAACCCAAGAAGGGTGTAAAAATAAAATAATAATAATAATAAAGATGACACACTGCTGAAAATTATACATCTAATTGCTGCCTCGTTAGCAATGCGCCCCTATGACGAGGCACAAAGTGTTTAGCATACAGTCAGCGTATGGTCATCCCCTACATGCGTGTGACACACATGTAACGTGACACGCGTGTGGCCCCCACACCCCACCCGGGACAC